GTTTCGGGACCTAAAAACTAACACCAGAGGGAAAATAAACCACATACGTTTTTTTCATGGTAAATATCGCTAAAATGGACCAGGCATTTTTCTGCCGCGTTGCCGATTTTGACAAGGACTTGCGGCCGCCATGTGCTAATTATACGTCGATTAGCTATTCGCCTTCCCCTTCGGTTTTGTGGGCAAATTTTTGCTTTTTCAGACGTTTTGGGACTTAAAAATGGACAGCAGGCGAAAAATAAATAATATACATTATATTCATGGGAAATGCCGCTATCATGGACCAAATATTTATCTGTGACGTGTTGCCGAATTTTGCGGCCGCCAGCCACTTGCTGATGGTGCGGTACGTATGGACAATTTTTTTCCCAAAAATTAATAAACGTAACGTTACCGTCCCTAATAAGAGTGTACCGGGTGGACGTTCGGGCCGAAAAAAATAAACGTACCGGTACGTTTAATCGGGACATCAGAGTACTCAAAATACAATTTTGTAGTTGATCATATAAGAATTAGGCAAAGAACAACAACAACATTAAGCTCAAGTAATGTAACTGTTATATATGTAAATATTACTAACGCACTAATGCACTTGTCCCGTCTTTAGCACACACAAAATCAGTTGTTTTATGTTCCCTTCTCAGTTATTCTTGTTATTTCACTCCATACTTAAGTATGGAGGGAAATACTGTTTTTACTGATGATTCTCCTCCTTCTTCTTCTTCTTCTCCTCCTGCCATTTCTTTAAATTGATTCAATTCCTTCATTTTTGGGCCAAACGACCTGGAATTTCGTATAAAGGTAGAGTGGGTAAATACCCCTAGGCGTTTTTTTATTTTTTTTGATACAAGCTTTTACAATCGTTTTATTTGCGTTTTTAGCTGTTCCCATAGGAAAGTACTGTGGGGCGTACACGCGTGACGTAATAAGAAAGGAATTCGGGGGCGGGCCCAAATATGGGCATGCAAGCATGAACCTGACGCAGCCTAATCTTTTCTTCTTGCTGATTGGCTGTTGGATTTGATTGGATTAACTCAATTAACACCTGTTCAAAGCCATTTCATTTTGACAGTATGAACTCAAGTGTTTTGGTAGGTACAGCACAGGCCACGAAATACGCATCAATTTTCGAGGGACGTTCTGCGGGAGAGTGCAGGACGCTGTGCGGGACTTCCCTCGGGAGAGTGCGGGACGTCCTCCAGGAGAGTGCGATACGTTCTGCGGGAGAGTGCGGTACGTCCAGCGGGAGAGTGCGGTACGTTCTGCGGGAGCCAGACATTTTGCTCTTCTCTTTTGGAACAACGCAAGTTGGAGGTCAATGACCTGCGCCCGGCGTGTAAACAAGATTGGACAGGGAGCGGCTGTAATATCAAAGGAGCCGGCGGCTTCTGCTAGCCGGGTTGATAGTTAAGTAACATCAAGGTGGTTACAAAAGCAAACCTGATAAAGAACGGAAACCCGTAGTTAATAGTTGAAAGTCTTGGTGGCTTGAGGCGATCGATACCGCCATGCTGTTTACTTTATATGACATACAATGCAGTGAGTGATGTGTATCGCAACGAGTTAGCTCGGTTGGTAACGCGCCAGACGGCAATCCCAGAAATTGTGAGTTCGAACCCCAGTGCATCGGATATTAACATTTTAAACAATTTTATCATTTTTAACAATTTTATCAGTTTTAACAATTTTATCAGTTTTAACAATTTTAACAATCCTGCATTTTAACAATTTCAACATTTTTTTTTTGATTTTCGTTGTTTTGCTTTTAACATTCAAAAACTGATTGTTCTTACTCAAGAATGTCAATAACTTAGAATGTTAGTCTTTTGTATTTTTCCAACATACAAACCAAAATCACTTTGATGTTGTCACAAAAGTATGGAGCTGACAAGAGAGAATGAGTACGGTACTCTGCCAGTGTGAAGAATCTACAGAGGTATTACCAGTCACTAGTAGCAAGAGATAGACCACATTGAATGATGACGATGAGGACGAATCATATGGAGTACTATCATAGCTTAGTACAGAAATTCTACTGCTTTACTTTACTTTACTTTCTTTCACTCTGTACATGCAATTAGCTCACTGGCATGATTTTAAAAATAAAGGTTATGATAATCATATTATATGTATAGCTTATTCAATGTATGGCTTCATAGTTTATGTGATTGTTAATAAGGCCATGTTGATTTGATTGTATGGATGGCATCTGTGCGCGCATCGGTTTTCGTTAATTTAAAACTAAGTTTACGACATTCATACAAAACATCTGGAAACTAAGCAAACATACTATGTAAATTGATTACTGTAATTCCCGATTTTTTTTCACTGTACCGCAACGTAACGCAAGCAGGAGGTCAATGTTCACGGTTTTCACTGTCACCTCTGTACCGTGAACTTATCTTTACAGTTAGGAAATAATTCCTGGACTTTCTTTTTCCTGCAACTGTCACCACCGTGAATATATAGTTCCGTGAACATGTCCATGTTTCTCAGACCGTGAAAATTTTGCTACCGTTAGTAGTACAGTCAAACCTGTATCCAACAACCACTCAAGGGACCAAGGAAAAATGGTTGTTGACTGGGAGTGGTTGGATGGTCCAGTTTGGGGGGGGGGGTCTGGTTGGTATCTTGGCAGGGTAGGCTTTTACTTACAAATAAATAAATTATAAGCAAAAAAGAATATACAGAGTACATTTTAATAGTGAGATTTTATTGACATCACACACATATGACTTTGAAATTATACTTCATATCGTAGAATTTGAGGCAAAAAAGTGGAAAATAGCGGCATGAAGTATGACAAAATACATCATGTGTACTTGGCTATCTCTAGTCACTACTAAGTACTGTTCGATTATGTTTTCATCAATTGATACAACAACTGTTCTATTACGAAACTGGGTTCGAAATTTAATTTTACAAGTCCCTAAATATAATGCAACGAAAATAAGAAAGTGAAACGTTCTGCCTTTGAGCCTTTGTCCCTTTCTGCTGAAGAAGTCCTCCATTGTAAAGTCCTCCATAATTTGTTTGGGCCAAGGACATACCGATGCCGAGTTGATATTTTCTTGCCGCCATTACGGGTTCTGTGTCGGCAACTTTTGCAGACTACTCAATACTGGCGCAACATTACAGCAGTCAACTTAATGTGACTTCAAAAATTCCTAAAAGGTCATTTTGGGCTAAGAAATTTGACGGAAAACTTCGTTCGCGATCACAAAATGGAGAACAAAGATGGCGCTGGCTTGGAAAACAACAACAACCAATCCACTGTGAAGGGGAACAATGAACATGCAGCAAAAAATACATAACGAAATTTCAAGTTTGTATAGGCGTTTGTAAGCAATTATAACTCTAGATAGATATAAAATGTAGTTAATTCATATTTGATTTGCGTGCGGTGACCGCACGTGTCAAAAACAAATTGAGTAAAAGTATTCAGGAACCCTTTAGAAATGGAACCTTCCGATGACCCACGGGGTGACCCAAGCGCGGCCGCCATCTTGAAACAGAAATGCCGAGGAAAAAACACGAACTAAGCATAAAAAACGCTGCTTTTCATGGAATTCCACGACCATACAACGAATTCAAAGAATAGTTGGGGGGAGATATCTGTGTTTATGTGATTTTATGGTGTGTTTGACGCGATTTGGGTCTTCAATCCACCGGAACTAGGCGCCGGCAGTGTGTCGAGATCAGCGTGGTTTTCGTGCCCCGTCAAAACGAGAAACAAAACGCCCGCGAAATAAAACCCAGGACAACATTTTTAGATCCCAGCGATTGTGTTTTCTATAAAAATATTTGTGGATATGTGCAATATTCCCATGTTTTAACCGTATGCTTTCTCAAATTACAATGTGTTATTCTTGTCGCAAGCGCGGTACGGGCGTGAAAATCGGGCCCGCTAGATTTTTTGTCGGTCAGTGCACAGCATGCAGAAATTTATTATGATATAATCTCAATTTGTTTTCGAAATTATATTAGTAAAACTATATTTGTACAATTATCAGTTTCTTTGATTGAAGCATAATATTACTCTGGTCGTGTCGTTCCAAACACATGTGCGTTGTGCCGACGCACCAAGATCTAGATCGCTTGCCCTTATGCCATCATCTGGTTGTTGACTAGGGTGTCCGTGCCCCGTAGGGACCACAAGAAAGTGGCCGCTGGTTGCGTTTTACAGTTGGTTGCCTGGAAGGGGGTCCTTACTATGTAAAATGGGACGGGACTGTTTGGATGTGGTTGTTGATAACAGTTGGTTGCCCTAAACAGTTGGTTGGACGGACAGGTTTGACTGTAGTTGCAATTTCGTCATTAGTAGTATTTAGATACCTGCAATATGTAACTTTGAAATTGAGATAAGTGTAAAGTAAAGCTGTCGAGATTTAAAGTGCTTGTCGTTGTATCTTTGTAAAAAAAAGGGAGATAATGGCCAAGTGCCATTTTTGTAAATATCTGTCGAGATTCAAAAAGCTTGTCCTTGTATGATTGCAGTATGATTTATTCAGAATCTTCTATTTTTGTATGGGGAGGGAGATGGAGTGAAATATTACATTTGCTCCGAAGCAAATGTTGGCCTTTCTAGTTTTCCCTTTGTTTTTTATTTACCGAGTCACAATTGTTATTAACAATGCATAACAGCTACCAATACACTGTAGGGCTAGGCAGTAACGAAGAAGAAGAAGAAATGTTAATCTCAAGTCTAGAGAATTAAAAAAACATAACAATTCTGATAACAGTTATTAATTTCATAATTCAGTGCCTACCTTTGTGAGAGCAGCTGGGTGGAAGGTCCATCTGTTGGAACTGCCATCATACTGGACCCTGATGTCCCCCCTCTCAGTCACCCGGTGGACTGTTCCGGCTTTTCCTATAAACTGTGTGTAACATTGGACAGTAATGAAATAAGCATGAGCTATCAATAATGCAATTTAAAATGCGACAGTGCTTTAACAGGATGTCATCCAATTCTAATACAATAAACTGATTAACTAGCAAAATATATTAGGCAGTCAGAAAAACCGTATACATCAATGTAAACAAACTGAAAGGGGTTGGTACATTTTTAAAATCATCTTTCCTTTTATTTTCTTATACCTCTAGCATTTTGGGGTTCCACCCTCCATGACCTTACCTCCACCATTTTGGGATTCCACCCTCCATGACCTTACCTCCACCATTTTGGGGTTCCACCCTCCATGACCTTACCTCCACCATTTTGGGGTTCCACCCTCCGTGTCCTTACCTCCACCAATTTGGGGTTCCACCCTCCGTGTCCTTACCTCCACCAATTTGGGGTTCCACCCTCTGTGTCCTTACCTCCACCATTTTGGGGTTCCACCCTCCATGTCCTTACCTCCACCATTTTGGGGTTCCACCCTCTGTGTCCTTACCTCCACCATTTTGGGGTTCCACCCTCCGTGTCCTTACCTCCACCATTTTGGGGTTCCACCCTCCATGTCCCTCTTGTAACTGCTTGAGGATGTCCACATCAAGTTGAACCTTGACCTTGTCTCCGACCCGGAAGTTCTGTCCGGCTGCACTGTTGACTGGTTCTATGTGGCTGACAATGGTCTGATGGTGATGGTAACCTGGGGGGGTTGAAGATTTAAACCATGTTTAAATGACATTTCATTACATTTTTTATTACACTATTCATTTGCTACTGCTGAAGTGCTGAATTTGATGTAAATTTTGTAAAAGGTTAGTTGAAATTGGACATGCATTTACCATATTAGTCTAAGTTTAATGTTTACTTCAATGTATTTTCTATGTAACTATACGCTAAAATGTTGTATCGTTAGCATCAAAGTTCATCTGAGTTGGTAAATTACATTATGAAAAAACTTAAACTGTTCTCCAACTCAAAATTTGACTCACCAGAAATTTTCGACTGTATCAGATAGCTCAGGAAGACTGAGTGATTCAGTCGAAAATTTCTGGTGAGTCAAATTTTGACTTGGAGAACAGTTTAAGTTTTTTCATAATGTTGTATCGTTGACTACCTGTTTTTATACACGCTGCTCTTTTAATTATTGTAAAATAATTTGTTACAAGTTTTTGTTCACTTGATTGATTTTCATACTTCTTTAAGTCTGACACCAATTCAGTCAATTGACTGCCATTGTCAGATTATGTGAGTTATAATAAACCAATCATCATCATCACTGCATACAACAGTGAGAACAAATGGCTCCACCTTGTTGGCATCGCCAAAAAATCACAAAATCTACCCACCCAGTTTAGGCAGGTGATCTTTGTAGTAGTACCCTCCTGTTGCATCCTGGGTATACTTGACGTCGACCTTGCCCTTGTGACCCAGCCTGTACACGTTGGTTGCCCCTGACGACCAGGTGACTTGAACCACGCTGTTCCCTGATTCGTTGTCCCAACCGCGGATCTCGATAACCTTCCCAGTGTTCCCTGGGCCTCCTGGTATCAAAACAGAGGCTGAATAGCAAAGTTCTTTATTCACAACCACTTGTTCAACAAGTGGCTGCGGCTAAAGAGCTTTGCTACTCATTCACCAACCTGATGAAATAAGCAGTGTACAAAATACTTTTTTGAACCAGGTTGCGACAAAAATTAGGTTGCCCATCAGAATTTTAGGTTGCCCCACCTACATGTATAACTTATATATAAGTTACTACTTTCCTCAAATTAAGTAATATTACATACATAAGCCTTTGACAATATTTATAACAGCCTTTAGTTAACTGATACTAGTAATAGCTAATAATACCTAAAATTAAAAAGCATTTGCCAGAGACAGGGGTGCAAGCCAAGTGGGCATGATTTGGGGGGGGGGGGGCATGTTTAAAATTCAGGTAGCACACTGGGCTACCTAGGTTCAAAAATAGGTTACCCCATGTAAAATTTGGTTGCCCGGGGCAACTGGGCAACCAGGTATTTTGCACGCTGCAACAACAGAGGCTGTTTGTGAAATGTCTGTTGGGATATCCCATCATCAAATAAACCTACATTTTGTAAATGTATGTAGCACAAAATTCCACCGAGATAGCTCATAGTATATTAAAGTAGTATGCCCCAAATTTTATCCCCTCTTCTCATATGTACAAACTTCTGATCTGTACTTTGAAAGGAAACTAGTTTTAGCTTTAGGTATCTTGCAAAATTCCAATTTTTGCTCAATTAAACATGCTCCTTGCTTCAAGAGACCTACCTTCTACAAATAACATGTTTTGGCCTGTTCACAAACACTAAAATGTTATCAAAATTTATCCATTATTCTCATGATAATTAATTATAAAGAGAAAGTCTCACCATCTTGGTTGCCCCAGTCCCAGTCTGGCCCCCTGACCACACGTGCACCAGGAAAGATCCCTCTGGACTGCACCTTCACAGAACCATGTCTTTTTGGCACGCGTACTCTATGGGATAGAAACAATATTCAAGATCTTGTTACTAGTAGGTCTTTTATTATATGCCACTATATAATACCAAAGGGATCAATTGAAAACTCTTTCTTCCATGTAAAAATCAAAACTGAAACCACTGAGAATTAGGATGATTATTACTAGTAGGTCTTTTATCATATGCCACTATATAATACCAGTATGAAAAGTTTTCCATTGAAAACTCTTTTCTCCATGTAAAAATCAAAACTGAAACCAGTGACAATTAAGACGCTACTAGTATTACTCCATAGTCCAATCCTTACCAAAATAATTATGGTGACCCTTCCCAACTTATCATAAGGGAGTAAGAAGAAAATGAGGGAGGTAATTTGAGAATTGTTGCTTCACACTGTAATAATGCCTGCCCCTGAAATATGCATGTTACAGTCATGCACATATTGTAGACCTGTTAGAACTGACAGCTTACCCAGCCGACTGTGCAGTCTCGTATCTCTCAAACTGGTGTGTGGTGAGGTGTTTGTCGTTCATGTAACAAACGGTGCACAAGTCGAAGTCGTGGCACTCCGTACATTTCCACCGGATGCCGCGTATCCCGTGCTGCTTGCAGTCGTCGCAGATGATATTCGGGTGCTTCACGCCGATGGGGGCATTGTCATAGACCAGGAGGTCGTAAGACCCTTGGTAGCCAACACGATAGTTCGTACGCATTCCAGAGTCCCACTGGACGACCGCGGTTTTATCCGGAGACGCCGTGCTCCCCGGTCTGCCGATTTCCACCACCGTACCGATGTGGCCTTCCCCATCGTCCTGGTTCGCCCACTTCCAATCTGGACCGCGGATGACGCGTAACCCGACCTCCATCTTCTTAACTCTGTCAGGAAATAGACCTATCGGGTCAATTTACACAAAGTGACAGATTTGATGGATTCCACACCCCTCTATTTAATGCGGGGACAGCCTGATAACTGGATTAACTTCATTTGATTAAGTGATGGTGGAATAATTCAATCATGAATATATCTAAATGGACTTTTGACCTTGTGTCATTCCCTGAGCATACTAGTATATAGGAACATGCATCTACTTTGCAAATGATTGCTTGTTGCTATGAAATATATTTTGTTTTCTGCAAATTGATTCCTAATACCTACATGCTTAATTAATTTTTTCAAACCCGATTTATTTTATTGCATATGTTTTTTTGCAGTCAAAATTTTCCTGTTGGTTGCATACATGTGCTTATTTTATGCCCTAAAATGATTGAATGTTACAGCATATTATCATTGATTTATCAAGATGAACATTGTTGCAAACCATTTTTAACCCTTCCCTTTACTGTGCTCATGGTACAAGTTCCTTCAAAGGAAAATACAAGTTACTAACTAGTATAAGTTGTTTATAAATATACCATTTCTGGGCGCCATTTCTGTACATGTAAATTTCTGTGATTCTAAATTATAATTATACACTAATATCAAATTGTAACTGTAAGTCAACCTCGTCACCTTACATCCTAAAATAGACTGTAACAGATTGTGAACCATAACGTTCCAAAACCCCCTCTATCTCTGCAGAGATTCTGAAAGAAAACTATCAACATGTTGCAAAACAACAACAAATTTGGAACAAACATATGTAGAAAGATTTTCCATGTCACGAATTAAAAGCTTTGTCACCTGATATCAAAATTTGTGTCTTCATACAAAAATGTACCATTTTTAATTGTTGTCATAAAACCAACGTTTCAAAAATCTATATTCCAGATTAGATTCAAATGTCTGGCAAAACCCCTCTGATCTATTGATTGCCAAGAACTGCATAAGAAAAGGATCCAACGACCTACTTTGATGCTTTCCAAAAATAGTATAACGAACCTTCAGCCTCCAGAAATGAGGCAGCATTTTTCGAATACTGTTCCCTGGAGTTCAGCAGCGTTTGTTGGAGCTTGACGCGGCCTAAAACACCGAAAATTGAGGAGGAAAATGTGCAATTCTTCCAAGAACCTCGTAGGACGACATCTCGTTTCCGGGCCAGTCGCTATGGACGAGTCCATTCAAGACCAAATATAGGTAACTATAGTTATATTTCATCAAATATTGTTATGTCAATTCCAATACATAAGCCACAGAGCCGGAAAGCCATTGCAGTGTTCGTCTATATTTTGTAGTTGTAAAAATTGTTAAGTTTGCTTGTTCTACTGTTAAAGATTTTAGATTGAATTATGGATGTTATCCCCCTTTTATTTCAGTGGAGGATTCTGTAAATTGTTACGCATGCGCGTCTAGATCATACGACGTGATAGCGTAAATACACATATCTATTGTCGTAAATACACATAACTCCGACGCAAAATACACTTGTTGAAACTGAATATTGATATAGTGATTAAAAAGCCGTTGCAGTTCCATCAGATGTTCTTGTAATCTGTGGAGAACATTTTTTTCTCAGTGATTATTACACCAAGGTGCACCTGCAACATAATACATTTCTGCCATTTCTGGTGACGAGTTCATGAAAGATTATCCGATGATAAAAAGATTCTTTTTTTCCAAGGAGGTTGGCCTCCTTGTTTTGTCCAATTAAAAAAAAAGATGAAATCAAATAAATGATTTTAACCCGGTGTTTGAACAGTGTTCTCAGTGAAGTGACAAGCTTTCTGTAGATGCAAGTTCCAAAGAAATCGCCCAAAATACAAATGTATTTTCATTGGAATTTTAAAATCGCCATGGTAAGACCTTTCAGTCTTATTCGCTCTTCTTTTATTTCACCGAATTGGATTAGATTTGTCTCGAGTCTACCTCATAATAATTCCACTTGATCACGTATGAAAACAAAAGTAAAATTGTTTATTGTTGAGGGCAATTACGTATAACATGTAACAGTTATAATATGAGGGCCTTTTGTTAATCAGTTGACGCTTTTCTTTTACCTAACGTTAACGTTGTGTGCTCTTTTAGTTGATAAGAATTACTGAAGAGATAGAATGAATATTTTGTCCTTTGATGAAACGGCAAAAGATAAAACTATAGATAAAACTTAATGTAAACAAAAGAAAAACATCGTTACCGCTCAAGGCCAAGTGAGTGCGCTCAAGGTCAACCCTGTCTAAATGACAGGAAAAGCCAAAGGGCTAAACTGGAACCTGGGACAACTTTCGATATCAGGTGAAATTGGCCACCCAAGTAATGAAGTTTTATGTTACCAACGTTATTCAAAATAAGATAAAAGATCCAACTGACACCAAAGGAAACTTCCATCCATATTTTCGGGTCAAGGTCGCTGAACAACTGAAATAAATTCATTTTATAAATTTGTTAAAATATTATTGCGCATCTTTCAGCGGAACTTTTATTTGAAGTCAAATGCATGAAAGAGCAGGTTGTTTGTAGAAATCATTTTTATTTGATCATTTATTTGTTGTGATAATGCGCAATAAACATTAATGCGATATTCTAGAGGTTCAGTTTGTTATTGTTATAACCAGTTGTTATAACGTAACGTTGCTAGTATATCCAAGCAGATGTATGTGGTCTGGGATTGTTTTTGTTCGTCTTTTCGCTGCGTTGCGTTTCATTGAACGCTTCTCCGTGGATCATCAAAAATACCTTTAAAGAACGTGCGGACACGCACCTCTCTGTGGAGGCTAGTTGCTTTTGTCTGAATGTTTTTATAGTTGTCCAATATTCTATATGCGCCAAATATGGGCACACACAAGCCCCGCTCTCCAGAAGGAATGTTTCCAGTGGCTGTCGGCAGTCACGTGATGACCTCTTGATTGACACCCCTGCGGCATTATTAGGCAAATGAAGTGGCGGCTGTTCCGTTCAGCGCTGCTACCCGCTCGGGAAACTGCTGAGATTTGTCTGTCGGCACCAGTGAAATTTTACAAGATAGACGTAGCACTCGAGTGTGTAAGATACCAGTAAAAGTATCATATAACGCTAATAGACTTTTCGCGTAAATACTTGAACACTATAGATATAACGTTAACGTTAGTGTTCAAGCTTTAGAATCCTATCTAACGGAAATTATTTAATAGTGTGAAGTATACTCGTAAAAACGATTGTTTAGTCGGTTTGGTGATCAAAGAGACAATTTTTTAAAACCCATATCAAAGTTTAAAATTGTGTTAATTTGGATAAGAACTGATTGCTAGATGATGCGCATAATCATCACATAAGTGAACGTGATGCCTTTTTGCTTATTTCATACCCAAAATTGTGATTTTTCCATCTGTATTGCTTGATATTATTCTTTATATTGCTGTCGTATGTTAAAAAAATTTCTTTGATAAATTATATGAAGGGAAAATATTAAGTCAAGGAAATATGACTTGCCATACATTATGTTCAACGTCCTCCGTAGGGGGAAGCAGCCGTGAATGGAACAGCGCAAATAAGTGTCAGAATTACGTCGCCACATTTGCATATTGGGAATCGGACTGAAGACTGCGGCCATTTCGGGTGCTATTTTGGCCCAATATCCCCTCAGTTTCCCCTCCCTGGTGCCGTCTCCGGCCATGGAGGAGACGAAAATCATTTACCACATCGATGACGAGGACACACCGTACCTAGTGAAGCTCCCAATCCCGGCCGATCGCGTCACACTGGGCGACTTCAAAAATGTCCTCAACCGGCCCAACTATAAGTTCTTCTTCAAGTCTATGGACGATGATTTCGGGTAAGTTTTTGTGGCAGCTAGCCCCTGATTGGTGTGATAACCTTGATATTTGCTCACTGTGGTTAAACTTCAGGTGTTTGGCGTGTGGTTTAGAGTCCTTGGGTGGTCGATCGGGGAGCTACAGCCCTCCCCAAGCTTCCCCCTCCCGTCTTGTTCATAGGAAGTTTTCCATTTTGGGCTCGACCTAGCAGCTAGGGATAGCTTGGTTTATTTAGTTTGTAGTTCTGGGATCATGAAAAATTCATGGCATCTTTGATGCAGTTTCTTTGCTGAAAACTAACTCGATCTCAATTCGTCAATTTTGGTGCAATCAAAGGTGGTTATACGGCCACATAAACCCTCAGCAACTGGCTCTGATTTGAAACAAAACGCATGTGTTTCTCCAAGCATCGGTCGTGTCAGACATGCTGGCTTACCAATTCGCAATCGCGCTTGATTGAAAGAGACATATTGGAGATTCTGACCTCCGAAATTAGTCCATTTATCGCCGAGAGCGCACTAGAAGTGGTATAAATACAGAGTAGATAATGTGGCTGCGATCTTAGCGTGGTTCGCAGACCACTTGGGGTCAATTTCACACAGGAATGTTGTCGATTTCAAAATGAGGTCGATTTCCTAGCCATGAAAAGCTGTCTCTTGCATAAACACAACGGATTGTGCGAAAACGTGCTTTAAAAAAAGAGCAATTTTCTTACTACACCCGTTCAGGAGTTAGCTGAAAGGCAGGAAGGGATGGAAAAAGAAAGAAACGCTCGCAGTAGACGGCAGAAACTGGTTGTACGCGTGGTTGTGTTGATTTGTGGTGATTACTGACCCTTGAATTTTCACTCCCAACACAGACAGCAGCCATCTTGAATCAGAAATGACCTCAACAGAAGGCTCCTTTCAAGCATCCAAGGATTGTTTTTAAAGTCCAGCTTCCTTCATAACTACGGCATGTGTTCAGGACACCAAATCTTGCACACATGCCATTTACAAGCTTATGAGAATTTGGTTCAGAAAGTATTATTATCCCCTAGGCATTGGCGAAGGCCTCAGAGGCTATAACCCAAGCCTTTTGTTGAAGTAATGGATATGAGTGGGGTCTTACGAGTTCAAAGTGAATCAATCATATGTTGGTTTGACTTCTTAGGGTGTGTATCAAGAGAGGGGAAAGACAAAAAGTTCAAGACACCTCGCAGCTTGGCCGAATTTACATTGCAATGCCTTTTCACACAAAAGGAAGCCATAGCCTGATCGATTTGCTGATAAATTTGTCACCAAAGAAAAGAGGCATTGTAGTTGTACAGATAGATACACTGGCAAAAGTACAAGTATGTGTAAACATCCTTGGTAGAGTGTTTGTGTGGTCCTGCATTTGATATACAGTATAATGATGTACCATAGAAGTACGTACATGTGGAAAATGCATCACAGCTAAGGGTTTAGAACAACTCAAGTTTTTCCCCAATAGAGTTTAAATTTACAGATACGAAGTTTATGGAGTGTGTGCCCATTTATTTGGTGTCTGTTGTCATGGCGTTTTTTCTCCACCTTTAAAAAGCTTTTGCACACCTGCAATATGCAATCTGCATACAGGCACTGAAATTATAGATACTTTTGCAGGTCAAAATAAAGTCATTCACTCATTGGCTACTCAACCATGCTGTGATGATCCACCATTTATGATGATTTAGTCAGTTTTCAGCGTGTTGTTGTATACATTGTAAGTTGGGTTGTAGTGAATTATGATGGCTTTACTCATACTCATTATTGCTCTTGGCACACATATTCCAGAATTTCCTGTTGTGTTAAATTATGGATTTCTTTTGATTATTGTTACACTTCCTGGCCTCGCACTGAAGCACATTAATGACAGTTTGGGAAGAAATATGTTTCTAACATCTCAAAGAAGTAGTTTTATCTTCACATGTAACTTGTAAGACCAAAATTGCAGCAACAGTTACTACAAACATACTCATAACCAAATCTTAGAAATCAGCTCACATTTTTCCAGGTAATGAAGAATACTTTTTCATACTCTTCAAACAGTCAATTCAATCAATCAACTTTATTGCTCAACATTGTAACGTTACAACATGTGGCCGTGTAAACTACTTATAAACAATGACATATATTGCATCATGCTACTCATAAATCTGTCTTGAATATTGTATTATTGTGGTACTGTAAATTACTGAAAATTATCCTCATAAATATTATAGTGCCTTAAAAGTTTGGAAATAGATGTAGATATAGATAGACATTGATGTGCTTCTAGTCTTCTAAGATTCTACTTTGAAACCAGTTGTTTTGGTGCAGTGGTATGATGTTCAGTAATTCGTTTCGATACTTTATGGTAACCTTTGAATTATGACACTGTAGAGTTGTAAAATTTTGTTGGGGAAAAAGCTACGGTTGAATTGCATGTCTAATACTTGTGTGCTATCTTGTTTATGCTCTTCCTGGTAAACTATACACATCCGTAGAGTCAAGAAAGCCACTTTTATTTGTTACTGAGCCCATTGTTGCTTCTTCGTGTTCTTCCAGGGTTGTTAAAGAAGAAATAACAGACGAGACCACGCGACTACCCTGCTTCAATGGACGTGTTGTGTCTTGGGTAAGTACTGTAGAGTTCTGTAAGAGATACAAATGAAGCACAGGTCTGGTCACCCCAGAACTATGTGTATGGCATTTCTCCCGACACAGACAGTTGTCTAGCCAGACCATAAAATGTCTCCTTCAGTATCTGTTTTGAATGAGGCATAAGTAACTGTCATGATTGATAAAACACACAGCGCTTCATTCTACCTGCAACCTGCAATTTAGACAAAAAGCAGGTGAACTATCAGAGACGTGCAATTTTGCAGTTCCTGTATGGTAATGCTGATGTTACAATTCCGCTTGTAACAAAAGTCAAAACATTACTAAGATCACAATCTTCCTACCATAATGTTTTTTTGTGCTAACTTTAAAGACTGACTTTTTCATACATAGAAACTGATGTCCATGTGTATTTACACCATACAATGACGGTAACACTTTTCAGGACCGAAAAAAATGTCTTGGTAGATGCGATTCCAACTCAGCCATTGCAATCGCCAAAACCATTAAAATGAAAATTTAGTTTTCAGAAACTCATAGCTATATATATAGCATAATCTTCAGGCATTGAAGACATTTAACAAATTCCTAATAAACTTTCTTGCATCATAGTGTACAGTTTTGAAGGCAACTAGAAGGACAACAAAATATTTTCCACCTAGAAACAGGATGTAGGAAGCTATTTTGTGTGGGTGGGGGGTAGCCAGACCAGGACTTACAACTAGTGCACCATAGGTCAGACTCAACAGTGTTCAAATGATACCAATAAACTGAACAGGTCCGAGCAGCTGTTGTAGAAACTGTGCAGCTATGTACCATAAGTCTTTGGGGAAGTGGTGTGGCGATTCTCAGACAGTGTAGGAAGGGTGTCACGTGACTCTGTTGGCCAATCGTCTGCCGGCTTAAACACAGCGAAATGACAGTTGGCGTCAGACGGCTCATTTAGCTTAGTGTCATATGTACTCTGGATTTCTTTTGGGAAGAATTATTGCAGTATTTAAGATTCCTAATAAGCATTTTTGTGGCTATAGTCCACTGGGAAAGAAGTACTGTTGTCAGTGTTGACTCCAGATATATGCTATGCCGCTATGAAACAGGGATGCGAATAAGATACTATGATAGTATGAAGCACTGTCTATTGGATTCTTAAATTTCTACATTATTTCTAAAGAAACGATTTTTATCTTGCAACTTGTCAGGCATGTTTTTAATAAGTTAAACATTCCAAAAGAGTGATAGTTCTAGACCTAGCTGCCAATCTACTACTATATCACTGTTTATTTTTCCACAAGCGAAAGATACCGCCTGGGTATTGTGCTTATACATACTGTGCAATATAACTGATCGATATTAATCTCAGTGAAATACATACTGCTTGCTTAAAAGTTGTTCGCCTTGATTGAAACATGGTCCATTACACTGATGCTATAAAGAGGGTGGGAGGGGGGCATGGAAAAAATGTCAGTCAATCAATCAATACCCTTTATTTTATTTTTAATTTTATGCCAGTGCTCCAAATACTCCCCTTAGCAGTTTGAAGGAGAACAACTAACAAGTTTTATGCCAATAATATATGTTAGTAAAATATCAGACCACTTGCAACATTGCAGGTTACACAAAGTATTTCAACCCCTACTTGGACAATCAACATAATTTTCATGACAGGGCCACTGCCAACATGTACAGCACAATGTATGGTCATTTGTTTCAAAATTCATACAAATTCAGTACATGTAGTTTCCTTGTACAGTGTTTTGTCTAGATTTGTTAGATGTAAGTTTTCACCACAAGTGACAAGAGCTAGTCTGTTAACTTTGACTCTATTGGGAAGGAGCTTGCAAGTCAAACTCCAAGGCTTACAGCATAATAACATCATTTTGATATCTTACATTGAATACAGATAAACATGGCACAAAAGAGCCACATATAACTCAAAAATTGTAGGCAAGTACCTCAGTAAAAACATGTAATTCTGCAAGCCCAAATATAGTCCAATGTTGGCTGCTGGTTATGAGTCATCATGATTGAGTCACATACCGGCATGCTGGTGTTGGTGTTACAACTTCGTCTTACAAAAGATGGCTGTCATGCTTTCTTTGTACTACTACAACTAGTGCTGCATACCGGTTCACTGGACTTGGATCTGGACTTGTAAGATTGTTTAGGTTCAAGTCCAAAAAAACCTAAAAGTCAAGAACTGAGTCCGGACTTATTACCATAAAATTTCACATACCCCTTTCCTTTCCAAACCACCTAAAACCTTCCGTAGATTGCAAAATCTTTGCTGCAAAATGAAGAAAACATTGCCATCGGGCATCGTCAAGTACCGGCCTCCATGTTATGTGGCCAAAGTTTCACCCAGACAACATTGCAAGGTTGCCAACATGCAATTTTGTATACGCCATGGGTAATGTGGGTTTAGGTCCGGACTTACAAGTCCGGAACTGCACCTAAACCTCTGGACTTGAATCCGGACCTGAACCTAAATGTGGGTTTAAGTATGCAGCACTAACTACAACTAGTGTTAGCTTTTCCTACATGGAAGCTGGTGTGCCTACATGTTTGCTGACACTTCTATTTCCATGTCGGAAAAGTTGGGATACACATCACAGCTAGTTGAGAAAATATTTTTGCAGAAACAAGGCTCTTCCTATTCCTATATCGAAGGTTGATTCCATTTATTTTTATCATGCCATTTAATGTCTGTCTGTCTCTCAATTTTTCTTGAAAATACAGATGGGTGATCTAGATTTGTATGTGTATGATACATAAATGATAAAAACATAATCATGATAATGTATGTTCTGTGTCTGTATTCAGCAACTGATACAAGGAAATTTGGAATAACACATGAGGCTTGCACTTACTTAGCACTACCCTCGGTATATCATAAGTCGAGTGATTTTTTTTTTCTATTCAGTGCAATCAGTGATTTTCGGTTCAATATGATGTTACATCAATTCGCCTCGCTTAAGTACACAGCGCATTCCATCCAAACTGTCAAATACATTATACATAATTGCAACGTACATAATTGTCATAAAATAGAAATCTCTAAGCAATTCAACAAGAATCTTGAACTTAGTCATATTACTCACTCAGGGAAAACCAAGGCTGGTAAGGAGTTCCACAGCCTGCTAGTCCTTGGTTACTTGGTACATATGAAGACATGTTTTATCTAACAATATAATCATTTTGTATTTTTTTCTATTTCAATGCCTATGGTGAACATTGTATTGGCTTTACCAAGTGTATAATTAAAATAATGCATATTCTAAAGAAGGTTCCCGGTGCTCATAACAGACCAACATTATAAATCCTGGGATGATATGTCAGCTCCATATTTGGCTAATGTTAGCATAGCGGACTTCCAAAGGCATAATCTGTGTTGTGCATGCTTGTCATGTGAGATAGTGGGTCCTGTGCCCCTCGTTTGGGAAACACCACATTTGTCCAAAGCAGCTGTAAATTCTTAATATTGTTGACAGTTCTTTTTATTATTTAACAATGATAACAAGGGCTGCTGAGGTTTTTTTTGATATGCACTTGGGAAGAATGATTTTTTTAGTTTCACATAGCTTGTAGAATTGCATTGTTCTTGTATTGCTTGGGAGGGGTAGTGATTTTTTGCAACGCTGTGAAATTTTTAAATTTACATGTATTTTCATATTAATGAGTGTTATGCAACAAAATGTAAATAACAGAAATCTTCGAATTAGCCATAATGATAAGAAAATGATATTAAGAAACATACAAAAGTATTTTCACTAGGATTAAAAAAATCAATCTATCCAATGATTATATTTGAAGACAATATTTAGTCCTACCTTTAAAAGAAGTTATGAGTTAACTTGTGGGTTAATTTGATACATACAAACCCAGGGTTCTAGCTAGGATGTAATTTTAGCGTAGTGGTACTGATTGCTTTTCGGTGGGCCCTCCTTCCATGGTGCGGAGCTTTTAAAAATTTGAGCTAAAATTAGTAAAAAAAGGGCCATTTGAGGGATACCCAAATGGAAAAATGTTATTTCTAAGTAAGTATGTACAATGTATCCTTGATTGGTAACTTTTCACATTTGATCCTGGAACAAAGAAATGCAGTCACAATGCCCCTATGCTGTATGTGTGTGTGGTGGGGGGGTGGGGGGGGAGTTTAGTGTAGGGGGTCAAAATTATAGCGTAGGGGGTCAAAATTATAGCGTAGGGGGCCCTTACGCTACTTTGTGCTAGCTAGAACCCTGAAACCTGTCCTAATAATACATTCAGAAACCACAAGTCTGAGCCTTTCTGTCAACTTCATGTCAGTCCGTTCCCCAAGCCTAGCTGTCGGCCAGACAACATGTTTTTACACGTTAGATCTAAAATACCAACAGAGATCTAGCTGTGATATTTACCCTTAGTATTTGGCTTGTACACATACTTAGTTTTAAACAGTCTGTCTTTGTCTTGCAGTGATGGAAATGGACATCTATTGCTTGTTAATCCTAAGATGCCAGCAGCCTTGAATTGATGTATAAGCCTTTCTAATGACAAACGTTTTGGCAGAGCTTATGGTAGTATAGATTATAGAACAAGGAACGTAGGGGGAGGGGGGTATAGCGTAATTCACTTGATGTTCTCGGTAGCAAAAGTTCGCAGTCTGAGAAAAATGGAGGTGTTCGTGGAATTGTATGTTCAGGGTACTGCAGGTGCAGAAAAAGGAAAGTTCGCAAATTATTTTGGTAATGATAAGTTCATAAAACCATAAAAAATATAAGATGACCATAAAAAAGTAATGAATTACAGTAATCTTTTGGATGAATGCGAGTTTGCCGTCTTTCAAGATATGGCTGTAGTGACCATGAGTAAGTTATTCCACTTCCGGATCCAGGGAATATAGATGCATGGTCCAGTGGTAGGGCTGGAATGTATGATCCCCTGTAGTATGCCAAGGTCCTATACAATAATCACAACAGCTAGGTTGTGTTTTTTCTTGCACAGGTAAGGCAACACCAATTTAATTTCTTGGTTAACGGATTTTTCTAGAAAAATAATGGAGCGGGCGGACGAAGAAAAAAAAAACAGGCCTAGGCATCCTACTAATAATAGTACTATGGCCCAAAATGGTACGATAGGAGCCATGAAGTCAACACACCAGGCTAGTTCAAAATTTAAGCAATGAATTTTGAACTTTTAGTGATACCAATGCATTGAAAGATGAATAACTGTAATAACTAGGAAGTAAAGGACTGTTTTTAACTGTTCAGGGCAAAATATGAGCATTTTGCAGTTGATTCTGAATTTTTATTTTTATTTGCAAATCAGAAACAAATGAAGCGGGCGAATCCGTTAACCAAGAAATTAAATTGGTATGGCCTAACTTATCTACCTTCTTTTTGTATACCTTTTAAAAGGTATTCTTCATTATGTCTAGTTCGATTAAGAAATATAAAACAGACTTGTGTCATTTATCATGGGGAAATTCATTCAGAAAAGCAAACATTCTTTATCATCTTTTTATGGTACATTTTTGTTTACCCCAAAAATTTGAATTTAAAAATGGTTCCATGATGGTACTCTTTCTTGTAAGTGAAAATCTTGTCTCACATACTATGCTAAGATGTTTGATCTCTGAGCCCCTTGAATAAAGAAGTCCTTGTGCCTTAAATTTGAAAGAAGTCATGCTATTTGACCCCTTCCCGACCCTTCTCAGTAGGAATGTTTTGGTAGTGTCAAAATGAGGGGAACAGAGGTTAAAAATAGATGTCCTCATTTACATGGTAAATTTAGAGTCTACCTTTAGTTGTTATGGCTGTCTGTATACATGTAACAGATAATACATAAAGCAACCTTACAAAATATGTATATTTTTCGTCTAGTTCTTTTTCCAATTGATATATGATTATTGACCTAAATCAGGTAGCCTGGTATTCATTAGCTAGAGATAGGCATGTCTTTCATAGATAGGGGATAAGTATGTCATGTATATGTAGGTATGTGCTGCCCAGATGTTGTTTAGAAAGCCCACCCTACTGTACCTTCCTCTCTGGAAGGACCTGCCTTTGAAGTTCTTCTTTCTCCAACCTTTCCCTAATTGAAAGCAGTGGTGAAGCCTTTGGTTTACCCAAAGATGAAAGAATGAGATGAAATATACAAGTATGTCTTTAGGCCACACCAATTTAATTTCTTGGTTAACAGATTTTTCTAGAAAAATAATGGAGTGGGCGGGCGAAAAAAAAAATAAAAACAGGCCTAGGCATCCTATTATGGCCCAAAATGGTACGATAGGAGCCTCGAAGTCAACACACCAGGCTGGTTCAAAATGTAAACAAGGAATTTTGAACTTTTAATGATACCATTGCATTGAAAGATGGAATAACTGTAACAACTAGGATGAAAAGGACTGTTTTCAACTGTTCGGGGCAAAATATGAGCATTTTGCAGTTGATTCTGAGTTTTTATTTTTATTTGCAAATCAGAAAAAAAATGAAGCGGGCGAATCCGTTAACCAAGAAATTAAATTGGTGTGGCCTTAGCTGACATTGATGTTCTTTTTAAGGTATGAAAATGCCACAATGTTTTTTTTAATCGGAAAGACTACATCATTCAATACTTAAATCATAAATGCACACAGAACAAAGCTTCTGCTAGACATAGAAAAGTTGTGTCTGTTGTAACTTAATTAAGATTTTTAGTTGATGATACTGAAACATATCATGTCATATGAAGCCCAACCAGAGATGTTAGAATATATTAGAAATCCAGGAATTCAGTTATGTCTAAGGATAGAAACTTGATACTGTACCAAATCATTTGGTTCATATTAAGTATACCAAACAAAGACTAGAAGATGTGTTAACAGTTATTACTCAAACTCCCCTGGTAACCAATACAAATTGGGTGGCCAATGTCATCCCTAGAGTGGTAAAGGTTAATAAAAAGACGATGTCTTTGGAAAGCTCCAGTTGGAGCTATGGCATTGCTATAAACAAGATGAAAGAAACATGTATTTGTCATATCATACATGTATAATATCATGTGTAAAATCCTAAATTATTGCGTTAAACTTTAAGGTCCATTTTTAATTTTTGAAATTTTTGAAATTTAGTGTGCAGACCTGAACCAGAAATTGTAAAGGCTCTCGCACACTTGAATGTTGTTTTATGTAGTTATCATATCATTTTTACTTCACCCTAAGTAATTGTATTTTTCGTGTAGCTGTATGTCTTGTCAATAGTGTATGTGTGTTTTTTGTGTGCATTTCTAACCTACTTTGAAGGGGGTGAAGTCTGCCATCTCTGATTGCCTTGTCCTCCGTGTTTTCGGTACAGTTGGTTCCAGCAGAAGGCACCCTCTCTGACACCTCGTCACAATGCACCGACCCTCAGACAGACATGCCGCCGGCCCTGGAGAGAACAGGGGGCATCGGAGACTCCAGGCCACCCTCCTTCCAGTAAGTCATTCTGCCTATTTATACTTATGAGATTAAGGGGGTCCCCCCAGAAATTGTTAGGGGGGATGTGCTTCCTAATCAGCTAACGTCACAAAAAGAAAGAAAAGCAGAAAACTTTCATGAAAATATTAAAGAGAAAACCCTTAATTCGAACATTTTGGGAGAGGTTCTAGGATTTTGGGGAGAGGGGGAGCACCCCTGCTTCATTGTTTGGGGAGAGCCCTGGATTTTACATAAGATAATAGGGGCAGTGGGTTGTTAGTTCACTGTGTCAAGGGCACGGTATTGGAAGGTGGGGCCCATCCCTGGATGGAGGAAGGGAAAGTCATGTATTGTGCCTTTCCCAAGGATACAGTGTCTTGCCAGGGATGCTAGGTGGCCTCTTGGTATCGTGTCTGCTAGCCTAACACTACTTGGCCATTCAATGCCACCAAAAGGCCAAATTAAGTAATGGCACGTATACAATACATGTGCAATAGACCATTTACCTTGCAGTCATAGTCTCATATACAAACCATAGAGAATGACAGCCTGGTCAAAAAAAAAAAGAACAGACAACCTGTTTCGTTTCTGAAACCTTTCCCATTGTATTACAGATTTGGCTGCCGTACCAGTAATAAATGTAAGATAATTAACCAACAATAGCAGGTAATTTATCATTGGATACAGAAGATTACTGCTGGGCAAGCCATAAGAGAACAAGCAAATGTTGATGAATTTGATTTAATGACACAATGGGCCTTACTAATTGTTTTTGTCTGTCTCCACAGTGCAAACGCAGCAGAAAGCAGGGACAACCTAGACAGAGACACAGAATCTGAATCAGTCCTCTCACATAGAAGAGGTACGTTGGGTTAGTATGTTTATGTTTATGATTATACTTATGTTTATTAGTAAACAAACAACAGTAGATATTCCTTTTGTTATTTTTACTATACAAGTACAGTATGTATTTTCCCTTTACAGTGGTCACTAGACCAAAAGGCAATTAGTGGTTGTTTAGTGGATAGCAACCACAAGGGGGCCTCGGTGCACTGCCAGCTGCTTTCCTGTGGTTGTGCAGTGAGGCCTCCTTGTGGTCGGTAGAAAAACTGCATGTAAGTGTCAGTATCCTCAGACTTTGTCAAACACGGCAGGGAGTTTATGCATGCGTGCACACGTAGAGCTTTAAAGCTGGTAGCATTTTGGAAAGGTTAGTTATATAGATGAGCTTTTTGATTGGGAAAGACATTTCAAATTGATGGGATAAGATCCAGAACGAGTACAGGGCACATTGCCAAGGTACAACAGTAAAAGGAGAAGAAGAATAAAGTGAATGAATACAAGATGTTCTCCACATTTTAGTATGGAGTCCATCATGATAACTTGTACTTAAACTGTCACTATCATGTTTCAGATCGTCACCGGAGAAGGGACAGACATCATGATGATGGTATGTGCCACAGATATATGATTTAGGCCACACCAATTTAATTTCTTGGTTAACGGATTCGCCCGCTTCATTTTTTTCTGATTTGCAAATAAAAATAAAAATTCAGAATCAACTGCAAAATTTTGCCCTGGACAGTTGAAAACAGTCCTTTTCATTCTAGTTGTTGCAGTTATTCCATCTTTTAATACAATGGTATCATTAAAAGTTCAAAATTCATTGTTAAAATTTTGAACCAGCCTGGCGTGTTGACTTCATGGCTCCTATTGTACAATTTTGGGCCATAATAGGATGCCTAGGCCTGTTATTTTTGTAGAAAAATCCGTTAACCAAGAAATTAAATTGGTGTGGCCTAACCTGTATATAATATTACCTATATGCATACACCCAGTGTTCTAGCCAGTATTTTTATGCTCATAACGGACAAAAATTTTGGCCAATCTGTCATCTTTGACATATAAAAATCCATGTGTAAAGATATGGAAGGAGTTCTCATTTAACTAAACTTAGTCTACCAGCAAAAATTTCCCCTGAATACAGCATTTTTCAAGATGGACCCCTTTTGCCGCTTGACATCATGTTACATCAAACAAAATTGACATGACTGGAAAAAAAAATTCAGGCTGGTTAGTACACTGCATACACTGCATACGTTGATGAAGGTTAGACATCCAGGTAATATGATACGCCAAAAAGCAGTTACTCAAGCAACTGGATATGATTTTGGAACATCACTGATTTTGGAAATGACATTTCCAAAATCATATCCCGTTGCTTGAGTAACTGCTTTTTGGCATACAGTATACACTACTCATTACACACTTGGAAGCAGCACAGTAACTCGTGCTGAACATTTGCTGCTTCCAATTGGACTCCAGGTTTACAGTTAATTCAGGGTTCCATTTAAACTAATGCAAACCACACCCAAACACTGCTGAGACAATTAGAAGTTTCAGACATTGTCACGAAAGAGGTAACCCTTGTAGGCGTACCTCTACCAGAGTAGCCGACAACAACCTCTGGTATCAGAGTGTTTTTCGCTCCGCTAGTGTGGGATAACCAGGAACCTTCCCTGTATTACTCTTTCGTTTCGCGGTCTCGTGCATGTTATGTAATTGAGCGCCAAGCTATGGGAGCTGACATTTGAATGGTGAACACCCTACATGAAGGCTATTGAGAAATTTGATACTTAATCTGAAACTTCTTCATCTGTGATGGCTTCCAAACTTGAAGGTAAGTCTTACTATATCAACCTGTTGACATCACGCTGCAATTCTACACAGCAGTATTTTCCTAAAGTATGCAGAATCTCTTTCCCTTATCTTCAAAGATAACTAAGCCCAGTCCCGTAGGTCCATATTGAAATGTTAGGCGTCACCACAGATGGTTTTTGTCCTGTCTCTTTTTGATTATTTTGGCTGTGAGTCAGGGAGGTAAGAATGTGAGAAGTTGGTGTTCAGCCTGTCTCGAGTAGCTAATGTCTTCCAGAGCCTGGTCGGGAGGGAGGATTGAGATAATAAATTATGCGGGTCTCCAGAGGTGTTAGAGTTACAGGTTCTTACCTTTATGAGGAACACATGAAGATAACAACCTTTGTGTGTGTCTGTGGCGGAAAATTGGGGGAGGGGGGCGCGCGGTGCCAGGTCTTCCATGCCACTGGCAGTATTGTATGCAGCATTTATTTCGTGGTTTGGCTGTATTCCATGCTTGCACGCACCTGTGTAATTTCCGGGGACTCTGAGACAGCTCATAATTTGGCTACCTGGAGTGTCTTGTCAGTGTGTGAGGTCTGAGGTCTGGCCTGCATTTAGGGGAGGGGATTTTCTGTTCTGTCAGAGTCAATTCCTTTTAGCCTTTCAATCATCTACACAAGTCATTTCCGCCTTTTATTCATGTTTTTTGTCCAAGTTGTTAGGTAGCTGGATGGGTTTCTGCTGGAATACTTAATATGAGAAGGGCTCAAAATATCACCTGCATATGCAGGTTTATGCAGGCAAAATTGGAGCTGTGCAGGTCGTTCTGATGTCTACCTGTACCTTACATGCACCAGTCCATGTTCTGGGTTTATATATACATAGGTGTAACACCTATGTGCATGGATTTTCATATGCTGCATTGACTGTTACTACCCATGAAGTATGAATGATAATACTAGCAATGGTTTCTGAACAGTTTTTGATGTGATCCATACTTCTCAAAGTCTGAGTGGTGCAGGTAAAACTTGTCTGCAGGTAATTTTCAATGTTACCTGCACCGGTGCAGGTATGCAAAAAAAATAGCATTTTGAGGCCTGTATGAGGCAACTTGTTATTGGTGTTTTCCTCAGTCACCTGTGACAAAGTCAGCCAGTACAGAGGACTTGATGTGTGTAATTAGCTCCAGTGTAAACAAATCTACTTAAACAAACAGACTACCTCTATTCTGTTTTGCACAAGGAAGCATGTATGAAAGTTTAATTTTTAAAATCTTCCAGCTTTAAATATATCTGCATCAAGAAATGTTTTCTATAACAAAATATCAATTTAGTAAAACATCAGTGTGAATTTTCTCTCCAATCTTCCTCTTTTCCATGAACTCATGTAACCCAATACATCCCGCAACACTGAAAGTTTGGGTCCTTTGTTGACCAAAAAGATTCATGCAAAGACATGGAAGGACTTCAAAGAGTCTGAACCTTGTTGTTGACAGACGTGGTCTACCAGGCTACCCTGGGAAGGAGAGTGTACTGAATGAGGGATGGGGGTGGTGAAAGGTGGCTGTTTACTATCAGCTGAAATGGTGTAAACTGTCACTGAGGAAGCACAGGCTATTGTCTATTCAGAACTGTGTCTTCTTCCTCAGAAATGGACATGTTTGGACCATTGTTGTACCACAGTCTTTCGGTCACAGGTTTTCGGCCCTTAAAAAAGTGCAGTGGATTGCTAGAAATTTCTCAAGAGTCAAGGGGAAGTCAGTTGAGGGAAACTCCTTGACACAAACTTTTATTTAAAAAAAATGTTTATAACCCTTTCTCTTTGCAGCTTGGTAAAAATTCCCATCCCTCCCCTTAAAAATCAAGAATTAAAAGTCCCTCTGTGTAATTTCCATAGTTTTTACGTTATGTCTTGTATTGGAAACAGTCTTTGTTTTCGTGAAGTAAAGGTTCAATGATTTTATTAGCATTGCCATAGAATTCAGTCTTGCAGGTGGTCAAGTGAGTTGTTGGCGTCTTTCCAAAACAGAGAAGTCAGAATCCCCTTGTCAACACCACTAAATGACATGATAAATATATTAGAGACCATTCCCAAAATGAATGTAAAATTTGGCCCATACTGTAATTCCCCCAAAAATGAGCACGTCGGCAGAACGTACTGCACCTGCGCGAAACCCGTAATGTAAATTGTCCATAGCATTTCGGCAGAATGTCTCATATAAGTTTGTATTCGCTCATATAAGGTTAGCATTTCGACAGTAGTTTCCAGATGTTGTGTCGGAAAGAATATCCTCTGCAACAGGCAAAATTCTGATGCAACGTTGACCAAAAACCCAACGAAAAACGCGAGAATACGGGGTTCTGCGCAGGGGCAGTAAGTTCTGCCGACGTGCTCCCAAAATGTAATGTCAGTTATTGCTGATTTTCCAGTATAGTCATGTGATCAGTCAAACACCTGATTGGTCATCACAATGGAAGAAAAGTGACAGGAAGTAACAGATATTTTCCCTCTAACCTGTTGTGACCAGCTAATATCTTATTTCTACCAGACATGACTATTTTTAGACAGTCTTTCCTGTGTTGGTATCAATGCACTGGGTCAGTTTACCCTAAGTGTGGGTTTTAATCCAACTCAAACAATTAAAACATTTGGATCTACTCAATTTTTGACCTTTTTGGTAATGAAAAATCTGTTCCTTCAATGTCTCGGCTAAATATGTCTCAGCTGACATAGCTCAAATGCTGACATGTGAAAATTGGTTCATTAAATTGCCTTTTGACAAAGTTTGCTTGTATATTTTTATTGCACTAATATAATTCTACACTGTATTTATTTAATTTTTTAAACATGCATATCTACACAGGTTATGAATGTATGTACATGGTACCATATTCCTACTACTCAAAAATTTCCACCCTTTGAATTTAGGTATGTTTTGTCTACAATAAAATATCATAAAATTTAAGTGAAGGAAGTAAATTTGAAAGAAATGGTACAAAGTCATGTACAATGTAAGCAAAATGCCCCCCCTCCAACCATGCCTTCACTCAACAGTCCAACGTCTTTTAAACTTCAAGTTCAAGTCTTACTATAAGGCGATCCTGTTCCAAATGGCCATGTTATCTTTGGTAAGACATACCAAGCACTGGCACATCAGAAGGCTTGTTTATTGTTCCAAGTTCAGTTGGTGATTTTTCCCCCTCCCACAACCCATAAGTACAACAGGTTAGGCCATAGCAAGTAATTTTTATGGATGACATCAGCGCGCATATTAATTTTCGCCTGATTTTGGAAAAAAAAAAAAGAAATTTTGTTGCCTTCTGACAGTGGTCAACATGCCGAAGATGTCTGTTGCCATGTCGGAAGGTGGATGGCAGATAACTATGAAGAGAGTGACAAGACAAGGCTCTGATTAAATGTTTTGTCTCTTACTTTGATGCAGTGATATGTGATGCTGGCTGTGTATATGTAATGTTCCCACAGAATCAAAACCATTTGTACAATGATTGAGTAAAAATTTTAAAATGTAGGAACCTTGTTTTTTTCGGCCCGCCTTGTTTTTTTTTCCGCCCGCTCGCATTAGATTTGGAGTCTGCAGAGGATGTCATCCATAAAATTCACCTGTTGTGGCCTAACGTGATATCAGGAGCCAGTGTGTTGCCGGTGCAGTGTTGGTGGTGAAAACCAGCTGTGAAGTCTCATGGCAATGGGATAAACTGTGAGGGACAAAAACCAAACTCTGTTATGAGAAAGCTGAAAATAGGAAGGCGACCTCCAACAAGTAGCAGACAAGACTAAAAAGGCTTGGGA